GGCGGTTTCGTTTGCATCGCCGGGTCTGGCCCGCTCTTGGTTTATGTCGTGGGAAGGGACCTGCTTGCTGCTTTGAGGAGTACAGTGCGTGAGAAACAGGAGTGGCGACTGTCATCCGTAAATGCTGAGGTCTTAAGAGCTGATGGGCCATACAGCTTACAGGTTATGCTTAAACTTTTAAACGATAGTTTTGCAGACAAATGGAGTGAAGTTGTTTGTTAGTAGCATGGATTTCATGGAAATGTCAAAAACTTAGTTGCAGTAAAAAGTCAGCCTTCTGGTTTCCTAGGTTTCAGGCTTTTAAATCTCTGCACCACTAATAGAACACCACATGCCTGTTCTGCTGTCCAGCATCTCAACATGAGGTACCAGATAGCACATTACCATCACTTTTCTTTGAAATCGATCGTGCCCTTTCAGTAGGTTTTAAATTTAAGGTAGTATTTGATGGGTCAGAAGAAGAGAGCTGTATGTCCTTTCTCTGACAAAACTGCGTAGCTTTTTGTACTTCAGTGAAAAGATTGCCCTTGCTCGTTAGGAACTAGGTCATCTAGTTGAAAAATTATGAATAGATTGAAAAACTTTTAAGTCCTGAGTCACAAGAAATGCCATAAAAATATTATTATTGAGGGAAGCTTAGTGGAAATTCTGTCCCAGTAAGGATTGCAGGCCTAGGCCCACAAAAAAAGCAGAAAAAGCTAACTCAAGCTTTTACTGAAGTAACTAATATTACTGGTTTAAAAAATTACTTACAGAAACTACCTTTTCAGTAATGTTCCACTGGCATTTTTATTAATAAACCATTGCAGTGATGATTTTACAGTGAGAACATCTCCATTAATATTAAAGCTAGTGAGACTGGGGAGCATAGGTGTTTGTAGCGTAGAGTTTTGATAGCAATTGTTTGGGGGTTTAGAATAAATAATTTGTTTTTTTCAGCTGAAGATATCTAAGTCTTGTGCTTTGAATTTAGAATTTGCAATACAAGACTTCTCCAATTCAAAGAATGTCTTTTTTTTTTTTTGAAACGCAAAACTGAAAGTTATTGGATATTCTGCTCTAGTTTCTAATTCCACTTATCAAAGTAGCAACGTTTTTTACTGGACCCTGTGCATCTTATAGGAGTGTTTAATTTCCTGAAGTCTTAAAATCACATGGTTTTGTACTCAAAATGATCTTAAAAAATAACATGAGTAATGCATGTTTCAATTCTTTGGTAATTCAGAAGAAGAATTAATATTTTAGGTCAAAGTGGAATGTAAATGAGAATTATGGTTCAAAGAATAATTAAGTTACTGTTACTGAGCAGGGTTATTTCAAATTTGGAAACTTAAATGATTTTCTAGAAACATATACCAAAAAAATTTGGAAAAAAAACAGTATGTTCTCTTTAATGTTATCTGATAAAAAAAAATCTAAAAAATTTGCAGCCCCAGTGAAATATTTGTGTATGGTGTATTCAAGCTTTTCATCAAAACATTTAGTCAGAACTTTTCCCTGTTTCTTTAAGAAATTGTCTTTGTGTTTGGCAGCTACAGCTGATGTTGTTCCATCTGATATGAATCGCTGCTTTGAGTCTAAGGGATCTGCAGATAAAATTATCAGAGAAAAGATTCAGATCCTGACACGGATTGAATGCTGTTGATGCTGCTTGCTGTTCGATGCTCAGACTTTAATAGATAGTGGTGGTTGGATGTCTAGGTAATTTTGCCAGTGGCAGTTAAATATGCTACTCTACTGTCATTAAGTGGCACACATGGATTAAACGAATTTTATTGCCCTCTCCAAATAGCACCGAGGGACATGGTGTATATTTTAGCAGCCTGTGCAAGACTGTTTGCTTGTGCAGCTCTGCCGTGTAAATCACCACTGTGACTGCTGCTGTGTGCGATGTGCTTCATTAAAGTGTCCGTATCCTGCAGGGAGTCGCTTGAGGGGTTTTTGTGCCTTTTTGTTCTTACAAAATTTCCATCAAATATTTTTCATTCTGGTGGCTGTGTAACTGTGTGCAGACTCACTTCCTCAAGGGGAAAAAAACTCCTTAGAAAAATTTTCAAACACCCGTTTCTCACTCCTTAATTTTTGTATTTTGTATCTAACTCACACTAATGTAAAATGAAGACTTGAATACTTTTGTAGTGTGAGACAAAGTTCCTTACGGTTAGTGAGATGATCCCCACTACACTGGTGGGCCTTAGAACGATGTTCCAGCCTCTATTGAACATGGGCCCTGAATGAATGTTTTGCCAAAGCAGGATCTCTCTTGTAGTGGAGGCACAGATTTCTGCAGATTGGTACTACAGCTATCAATATCCTGCTGCTCTACATAGGTGCTGATCTGTTGTGGGCACTGTTCAGAATCTTTGAAATAACTTTAGGCATAAAAAAAATCATAGTTTAGCTTTAATATGAGTATGGTTTTGGTTCTGTGCCTTTTGTTTCTTTATTTATAAATATATAGATTTATTTTGTAAAAGAACAAAAAGTAGGAAATTAGCAAATCTGCTGCTGTAGAAAGGCTGATGAGAGTAACAGTTCGATAAGTTCGTGAGCAGTAAGTTTGAAAGAGATGTAAAACAGTGCAAGAGGTGATTTATAGGTATCTCTCTATCTGAGTAGTTGCTTCATAGTTTAGATTGTCTTTTTTTTTCCCCCACCCTTTCTTCCTGGGAAAACTGAGCTTTTGGCATTTAAATAAAATACTTCTATTGTAGCTTTTCTTCATGGCAAAGGTGATGCTGGCTGATTGGTGACTGGTGTACTCGTCTTTATAGTTAAGCTGAAGGTTCTGTTGCAGGCTATTTGCTGTAACACACTTACTTCTGGAGTGCCCTATTTCTTAATTGTCACCTGAATTGTACTGATTGGTAAAAATAACGCTGCTGAGATAATTGGAGGGCCCCAAAGCAAGTTGTAATCACTTCAGCAATCTCAACAAAACCATTTAGATTAAAATGCAGTTTGAATTAGAGCACACGTGGACAATGTGTATTTTACAAATTACAGGGTAGAAGCCAAGTGTTTTCAAGGGGAAGGAGAACAGGCAAATTCTGATACTCAAAACCAGTTAGCTCTTCTCAGCCAATTTGAATCTAAAACTTCTAAATATAAGAGCTGTTTTAGTAGTCTGGAATCCAGTAAATTCTCAGTATGTATTGTGACAGAATTGAAATCCATAGTCAAATATAGTTTGATTTTTGCAGAAAAAGAATACTTGCCATCAAAATAATTGTCGTTTATTTGAGTCTGTTAGATTTGTCACTTGAAGCTAACAGTGCGTTAATTTTAAAAATAAAGATTGACAGTGGCAAATATCCTTGCAAAGATTAAACATCAGTTTGCCTTTCAGATTGACTTGCACTTGTTTGTCTTTTGAGATTAGTACATTCCATTATTTGCAAATAGAGTAATTGTAGAAAGACGAATAAATGTGCAGCTCTGGGTAAATATGTTAATAAATTATTGTATATTGTACAGCCTTGAAATAATAATATTTTTCTTTTCTGACTATAAACATTAGACTTTCCCATTAAGCGTTGAGGCACTTCCAGTGCTCATGTTCATAATATTCTCATTTCTGCTGGATGTTTTGATGAGCTGCAAAATGTTTTAGAGTGTTCACTCTCAGCATGTAGGGTATGTAACGTGAATGTTTGCCCAGCTGCAAGCCATGTATTTTGTAAAGATGACTTTTTATTTGATACGTTTTAGTCTACTCTAAAATAAAAGGCATCTGTATGAATGTCTCTTCCAGCTTGGCATTTGTAAAGTCTGTCATTGTTGGGATGAAGTATTTTGAATGGACAAAGGTCCATTCCAAATTTGCAGATCTTGGTTATTCCAAGAAGGAAATTGCTTGCTTGGAACATAGGTCATCTTTTTCACTGGACGTGCTACATTGGAAAAGTATCCATCATTTGATACGGATATATAATAAAATTGAATGTATTTTTATTGGCTGCTATTGGCTTTTAATACCTTCCACTAGTCGAGTCAATACATGGCCAGCCACACATGTTTTACAGTAATGTGTGAACTTTAATGCCTCGATGACTTATGGAGTCGTCTGCCCAATGCCTTCTTCATGTTTTCAGTAAGGTTTAAAATGAGGTGTATTGAACACGTTCCTGGGAGAGAATCACTGCCTGAAGAGTTGAATGGTGTCGCAATGTTAAGGTAGTTCTAAATTGTTTATTCGTGTAAGCACAGCATGGACAGTTGTATGTTGAATTATTTCTGTAGGCAAAGTAAACTACTTTTCGGGCATATGTTATTTTCAACTTTACTTTCTTTGCAATATTAGGTCCGAGTGATGATGGATTTATGTAACAGCACAAAAGGGATATGCTTAACAGGTATGTTTATTGCCTTAAGCATAACATCTTCGGAAACAGTGTTTTCAAAGAACTTGAGGTCAATGACTATGTCAAAGAGCTAGGTTATTTATCAGAATTTACATATCAATTGTCTTATTTGTTTTAAAAAATAGGTGATACTTTGCGACTTATCTTATACCTACTTACTATAAATGCTGGAATTTAAGGACCTCAGTTGATGTTACTTAGAGCTATTTCTTTCTCATGTAATTTCCGTAAGCAAATCTTATAGACTTGGGTGTTTCAAATACTGTTTGAGGTTTAGTCTTGGTATTTTTGAGTGTGTCCCTACACTTCAAGGCTAACATGAGATGAACGCAGAGCGTGTAGAAGCTTGCTTCCATTGTTGTAACTGCTGTGGAGTAGTGGGACTTAGATAAGCAACGTTTGCCTCTCCTGCCTTGGACCACACTAACAGGACACTGGGTTTCACACGTCAGTGGTGAGGAGTCACAATGGCTGATGGCTGAGACAAGAAAAGATGTGAGAAGTTTCTGTGTGATTTGGTGAAGAGAATGTCAGGTAGTAGCTGATTTAAAGGCTATGGTCCAGCTTTGAAGTCTATAACAGACTGAGTCATGTGTTCTTTTTGGAAATGAGTGGATTAGAAATAAGCCACTTTTTATGAGTTTAAGAGAACACTTCACTTGCTGTGTGGTTTGTATTTTCAAATGATTATAAGGTCCATTTGGCTCAACTGATTTAAAAATAAGTGAGAATTACCATAGTAGACACAGATGTTAAATACTACTTCTGAAATTGCAGATCAGTTCTGATTGCAACTGAGGCTGAAGCACAAATAACTTAAGAGTTGTTTTTTTTGGGCTCCAGACTTCTGAATTCATGCTACTTGGTGCCTTCTGCACCTTTTTGCTCTCTTGACACTAATACTTGTCTCTAATACTGGCTTTTTCTGCTATAGGCCTCTGTGACATTTGCTACTCTTCAAGCACTTTTTTTCACTTATCTTATGCATGTGCAAGGATAAGCAAGATCCTCAATTTTTGAGTTGAGGAAGTGAATGAACACGCTAATGGACATAACATTGTAGTGTGGGAAAAAAAGGACATTTACTGGAAACTTGGCAGAAAGATGTTAACTGATGTAACTGTACTGATGAAAAGGGATAATTGCTGTAATAGCATTATAAAATGGTTTTCACTTCACTCATAATGACTCTCAATGCTTTCTAATTAATGCTGAAAACCATCATCTTTAGGGAAATCTACTAATTACTGTTTTTTTTTTCAGTTGTAGAGAGTTTTGCTGAAACAGGACGGTGCTTTGTTGGCTGGTTAAAAATATTCACATGACTAATTTGGTTCTACTACCACGTTTCTTTATATTCTCCTTCTTTTCCCGTGTGTGTGTTATTTATTTTTTTTATTTTTTTTAATGTGTATTGAGGATCACTCTAAGATAAATCTTGTTACAGAAACATTTTCTGGTTTTCTCTTGCTTTCCTCTTGCCTGCTATGCTTTATTCTCATTAAGGCCCCATACTTGAACTATCAGAGAGAGTGAGACAAATTTTACTGTTTTACATGTTGCTGAGTAACTTAAGTCCAGTTTCTAATACACCAGCCAGTTCTGTGGGGACCTTGACTGAGTCTGGAGAACAAAGTCTGATTGTGATTTAGATGTAGTTAATAGGAATGACAAGGCCCTTTTTTTTTTTTTTCCTTTTCTATTTAAATACTCTGAATCTTGAACTGCAATGAAATATCTATAAAACACAGAGAAGTGTAGCAGGTATTTTTAATGTGTATTTTCAACAGGATTTTAATTGTGACATTTATCAGTATTGTAAAGCTATTCCTGTTTTACTGTGACAAGATCTTGGAGAACACTTATATAAAGAAAATGTAATGATTGTTAGATGCCTTTCATCTATGGCATTGTAAAGGCACCTACGCCTGAGAGTAAGATTTCATCGTAAAGGTGGCCGTCAAACCTTTATCAGTTGAAATTTGCAAAAGGCAAAATGTCTGTGTATATGTAATTGCTTTTAAGAATGCTTTTTCAGTAAGTCTGAGTTTATGCTAATGCTCAAATAGTTATATATAAAGCAGTTAAATTCATAGATGTTCATTTTGAAATTTGAGGGGCTTTCCCTCCCTTTCTGTTCTGGTCTAATGCTCATCGCTTCAATTTGAAGTTGCTTTTTGTTTTCTTGCTGGGTTAAACTCACCATTTCTTTTCTTGTGTTCTTTTGCTTGTTCTTGTTGTAGGCCCCCCAGGTCCCCCAGGTAAGATACTTTGAGAATTGCACTTACATTTTGGGGCCATTGAAACAGTTGCTGGTATAAAATGTTGAAATATAGAAATGTATTTTTTATAGAATAGTCTTCCTTTGCTAATTAGAATGAGGGAGGACTGAATGACTGCCTGCCTTTGTTTTTTGTATGTAAGTCGACTTGTGCTCCATCTTAGAGGGGGGAGGATTTAGGCATTGTATTTTTCTAGTGAAGGGAATAGAATAGTTTCATATTTACTAAAACACATTTGATCAAAACCAGATGGACTTTTAAGAGTGTTTAAGTAGCATTGAGCTGAAGAGATGAGTGTGTGTGTATATATTTTCTTTTTTAAAAAAAGCGAAAACTGATATTATAATGTAACACTAAAAGCATCTCTTTAAAACATGTCAGTTACTGATTCTACCCTCCCACCTCCCTCGTAACTTTTCCTCTTTTCCTATTTAATTCTTTGCTTCTGCTCTCACTCATGTTGTTGCTGGGCTGTATGAATGGTTACTTGCTTTCTTTCCATGCTTCTTCAGCTGTGGGACTGCTTAGAATAGTTCTATCAGAAAAGTATCAGGTACTTCTTGTTTGTGGGGGTTCAAATAATGACAAAGAGAGAGTGATGTCTTCTGCATCAACCAGTCATGGTTTGGTACCATGGCATTCTGAACGAGTATGTAACTGCTTGTCTTGTGTTAGATTATTCTGACCAATATCATCAGCAACGTTAAAGCTTGTGGAAGATGTTATAGTTGCTGCCAAATTCAGAAATAGGAGGGGTTCCGCTGTGTTTATCCTTGAAGTGGAATCCAAAAGGCTGATTTGTACTGGCCTTAATGCAAAATGTGTGCAGTATACATTTCAGTCATTTTTCTTGTGCTAAGGCCAGGGCAAACAAGCACCTTACCTTTAAATTTGGTTTCGTAGTTTTTTCTTTGTGGTTGAGTGTTTTTTGTTTGTATTATTTGGTTTGGTTTGTTGGTGGGGGGTGGTGGTGTGTTGTGTGGTGTTTTTTTTTTTAAGGAGATTACTTTATTAGCATGGAGAACATAATGGCCAATTGGAGGATTTTTTTTATGTCTGAGGAATATGTATAAAAACATACCATGTGTAAATACAGTAGATTTAAGGATAAATTGCATTTAACAGTGAAAATTCATTTGTGCTCTTTTGTTTGTTCAGGGCCTCCTGGACTTGACGGACTGCCTGGCTACAATGGATCAGATGGAGTCCCAGGTATACCAGGACAAAAGGGAGAACCAGGAATAAATGGAAAAAGAGGAAAAATAGGTATCTTTTTTTTTGGTGGTTGTTTAAAAAATAAATCCTGTCTTATTGTTATATTCAGATGTAGTCACTTTTAGACCTTTGTGTGGGGAGAAAAGTTTCAATGTTTGCTAAGAAGTTACATGTAATAGAATTCTGTAGCATTCATTGTCTTACATTAAGCTGTGGTAGATCACTTCAGACTTATTCCACAGTGAGGAAGATGGTATAAATACACTATAGAATATTGCATGTTAAAGCTATTGAATGTGCTTAATTTCATCTCAGTATTCTAAACTTACTAGTAAATACTGTTATTGTAAGTGTTTTCATTCCCTCAGCCTGCCAACATAATGGCCCGTTGACTTCAGATGTCTTAAAAAGAGAAAGCCAGAGTTAAGGGATGGGAGATTTTATATGCTACCACAGTTTCGGTTCCAGATGCATAAGGACTATGGCAGGAGCAGTATATTTCCATATTTTTTGTGTTTTCTTTACTGTCCATTTAGGCTGGAAGCTCTTGGAGCATTTTTGTAATCTCAGATAAACTTTGTAATGCAGTAGGGTCTCTAGGTGCTATTTTAATGTAGCTGACGTAGATAGTGCAGCTCTGCTAACTAGCCCATAGGCTGTGTGTAACCCACAAGCAATTTTCCATGCTGATCAAGGAAACTGTTTGGCTTAACTGACTTGATTTCACAGTGACACATGTCTGCTAAGAGCAGACAGAACCAGCAGCAGAAGTGCTGTCATCTCGTAGCTGTCCTGCTCATCAGCACACGAGGAAATGGGACAGGGAAAAAGTTGAATACAGAGCAGCAGGATGTACCTGGCATGGTAGATTGAATAGATCACTGTGCAGCAGCTGAAATGGCAGGTAGGCAGTTAGTGTGCTCAGAGCCTGTAAACTACTGTGAAGTTGTAAAGCAGTAGCTGGTTTATCTACTGACTTAGATGCACGACAGCTATGTGCGAGTACTGATGGATCATTGGTGCCTTCAAGGCAGGGTGAGAAAGCAGCTGGTAGTGCACAGCAGGAGGGTGAGGAGACAAGAGGGCATCAGAATGGTGGAATTGAGATGGGGTAGAGAAGAGGAAGGGTGTGTTGATGAGTAGACAGGCTGTTAGGTTGGTATTTATAGCAGCCCACCTATTTTTCTGGCTTTTGGACCTAGCTGTGTGAGCTTGCTGGCAGGTACAAGTGGAACAATTGTCTACTATATCTAGAGACGTTACACAGTCTGTCACTTTAATATCCTCAACAAATATTAAGTTGGAAACAAGAGTGAGAACCAGTCTTCAGAGAGTCAGGTGGCAGTTGTGCCAAAGACACGTTTCCAATTTCACCCCAAAACTATAATTGTTGTCCAAAACTATAATTGTTCTCCCCAAAACACCACCATTGTTTTCCTTATTGCAAAACTAAATCGCACAGGGCAAAGGAGTATCTTTTTGAATATGTTACTTACTACGTGATCAAGTGCGAAAAGCATGTGGACTGATCATGCTTCTAACAAGTGTAGAGGGAGGGTTATAGTAGCCACCTGAAAATGTTACTAGCTGTATCCATGCCTTGCTGGGACAGTGGAAAATGATAGAAGTACAATGTATGTTGTAGTGTTAGTGTGTAATTAAAAGGTCTAGAGGAACCATGAAAATGCCCTTCTTTAATGCCTTACAATCTGAAATAAGTACATTACTTCACATCCTTCTTTATATTCCCACTTACCCAGAAATTCTCCAGGCAGTGTTAACAGGGCCCAGGTCTGTGTATTTCGCATTCGAAACCCAGATATCACTAGGTAAAGAATGTATTATTTGCACCAAAGGGATCGTACACCATTTCCCTTCATATTAGGTCACACCATTGTTTTGAAATCAGAACAAATTATAGCTACCCAGTTAAATACAGGTGAAAAAAAAAAACTAGAGTGAACACGTTCTGTATTAAAAATATTAAAAAAAAAGTATTGATTGATGCTTAATACTAGAAAAGTGTTCTTCATACTGAAATGCTTTTTATTTCCAGGTGTGCCAGGACCAAAAGGTGATCAAGGACCGAAAGGAGAACATGGTGAAATGGGTTTACCTGGCAAGGATGGTATGCCAGGAGGAAAAGGACCAAGAGGAGCAAAGGGTGAAAAGGGGGATGCAAACAATGATGTGATATTAGAAGGTAGGAAGAAGTGCTCTTAGCTCTTTTGCAACAGTGTGCTTGACAGAAAAACATACACTCTGATTCTGAAGCATGAATGTGATCTGCAGCAGTAGGACCAACCACTGTAACTGTGTTATCCACAGTAGAGTTTGAGTATTGTTACAGTTCAGATATTAGTGTCCTTCAGTGATAGTTTTAAGGGTGTGTCTAGCTCCAAAAATTAAAAGCTCTGCCCAGGAGATTATGTTCTTTTTTTAATGCGAGTCTTTACAGAGACTTTCTGCTTGGGCTTTGGGCCGAGGTGTACGTGAATTCTACCCTTTCCAGTACACATTTTGCACACTTGACGTCCTGCTCTTTCTTGCAGTGTAGTTTTAATTTCCTATTAGAAAATGAGGGGCAGATTTCCACTCAAGAATACATGAAGCAGCCACAAATATAAGCTGAGTAAAATTACAGCACTGTAGCCTCTGAAGCGGAGGTCTTGGAATACGGTAAGTTGAAGGCAACGGTGCGTTACAACTCACTAATGTGCTTGTAATCCAGACAGATAAATTGTGTTGATGTCCTACAACGTTTGAAGGTTCTGTATGGTTCACCTTCTAACAAACAGCTTCCCAGTGAGGTTATTGCACTGTATTTCTGTACACAGAAATCCCTTAAGAGAGATACTGTTTTAGAGATCTCTCAAAGTCCATCATGTGGACACGTGCAGTTCTCTGCAGGTTGCCTGTTGCCTACAGGGCTTGTGACATACTCTGTTTTGTACACAGGTGCAAAAGGTGAACCTGGACTGCCAGGGCCCCCTGGACCACCTGGACCCCCAGGGCCTCCAGGAAAACGTAAAGGTAAAAGTAAAGCACAGCTTCAGGAGAACATACACAGCAGCAAATGCACAGGTTAGTTCTTCCCAGTGTTCTTTTTAGCATTATGGGCAGGTTCAAGTTTAACCCCATGGCTCCGAGTCTCACAAAACAGTAAGCATGTGTTTAATTTTGCTGGCATCAGTAAAACTGCACAAACTTCAAGCTGAGCCTGTGTTTAGGTGCTTTGCTGAAATAGCTTGCTGCCTTATCCAGATTATATCTCTTGCATAATATTAGTCTTTTAATTGTGCTATGGTAACGCTCAAGCAAAATATTTACACATGATGTTTCCTGTTAGATAGGGTACACTTGGAAAGTAAGAGAAATGCAGTTGAAATTTTCAGCTTTTAAATGCTGAATTTTGTTTTTACATGTAAATATAACACCTGTTAACTAGCTTATATTTCACTGTATTCTGCAAAATGAAATCGCCTCATCATTGGCAGAACTGAAGCAAGCTTGAACTAGCTAAGACTTTTAAAAGCTCCACCAATACAAAAGGATTCTCTGAGACTTGGTATCCATTTGAATATGTAAGTTTTGGAGCAGGATGATCTTGAGTTCTTTTCCATTGTTGCTATTTATCATTATTGTATCCTGAATGACAGGTGGATCATGAGTTCTTTTTATTTCCTTTACTGTAGCTGTGTTGGTGAGGTTTATGACTAATTCTAATATTCTGAAAGGAAAAATTAAAGGCAGAGTAGATTCTTTTCAAACTGTGGCTGCAAATTGTACAGCAGATAGATTTTGTTAGAACCAAAATGAGTATCGAGACTCCCAGGTCGTAGACTGTATGCTGAAGTGTAGCAGCTGCTACACAATTTTTTCTTTGTGTCACTGATTAGAGTGCTGACATAATTAAGAGTTTGCCATGAGATCTCTGGTATGATTTTCAGGTGTGCTTGATGCCAGTAAATCCTCATGGATTGGACTTGATATTGTGGGTTGTTGAAAAATCATGTCAGTGTTTCCTGTCCCAACTTCTATCCTTTTTTTAGAAGATGTTTTTCTCAAATAGATTAAAATTGTGCTCCAGATAAAATCCATGTGTGTGTGTCCACATGCCTCTGTGTTTTTTTTAGTGAGTGAAGTGCTGCCTCTGCTGTGTGGAGAGCATATAGAGAAAGTTAGTTCATGTGTATCTCCTCCTCCAGCAGGTGACTGGTTGGAATTACAGTGCTGTATTGAACAGTGTATTTTGTAAGTACATTGACAGATGTAGTGTACTGAGCATGTTTTTCCATGCCTGAAGTTTATATGGATTTAAAATATATGAATAATAGCTAAATATTTTGTGGAAGAAAGTGTTGGTGTCAACGTAGTATCAAAGACTATATTAATATTCTAAAACCCTTCTGTACTTTTCTTACTATATTTTTAGAGATCATAGAAAAATTTCATTTTAAACTGTTGGGTTTTGGTTTTGTGTGGGTTTTTTTTTTTTTTTCCGGTAGACTTTAATTTCTTTTTTTGCATGTTTGTTTGGGAATAGCTTCAAAGAGGTTAACAGGGACATTGAGACTCTGAAAATATTTGCAACTTTTGTAGTCAACTAGATTTTCAACAACATTGAAAAGCAAGTGTAATCTCTGTGATCTTTGGTCTCCTGTAATGCTCTAAACAACTCTGTTTTGAATTAGAAGTACTAAATGAGAGTTTGATTCTTCTAATGCTTTTCAGTGCCAGTTCAGCCATGTAGGGGCATGGGTAGTGGGTGCAGTTGGGAAGGCTGGTGCTTGGAAATTGAGGATGCTCTTACTCATTTTGTTGTGAAAATCAGCAGCCATGTTTTAAAAGTATTTCACAATGGATGTCTGAAGTTGCTTGACTTTTGAAAATTTTGGCCAAAAACATTATCATACATTGCTGAAAACTCTCTCTCAAAACAAATCTGGTTTTGAGACTTTTATTTCAAATTATTTCTATGTACTTGAAGAGGAGAGCCTTTTTTTTTTGGCCAGTAGAAGCAGTAGAAGATGAGAGGAGCTGGTGGTTTGGATGCTCAGGAACATGTGTTCTACAAACATCGTGTTATTGTAATAACTGGAAAATTTTGTTTCAAGGTATTAGCTGATTATGGAAAGCAAAGAGGAGGTGATGCAAGAACAGCATTGTACTTCTAGCTTACTCCAGTTTGAGAAACTTATGATTTGGATCTGCCTGTCCTTGTCGTTTACCCCTGGATGGTATTGTATTTGAGATGCCCGCTGCTTTCAGTGACTGTTGCTACCCTTACAGTTCTGGGATGAATTTTCCTCCCAGCTGAGATGCCTGTTCTCAGGCAGGTCGGAGTGATTCTATAAGAGAATAGTGAAGGATGTGTCAGTTACTCATCTTTAACGTTTCTGGAAAAGGAGAGTTATCTTTGGCCGTGTTTGATAAAGTGAGGTTTCTTTTGTAATCAGGAACGTAGTTTCTTGATAGACATACCAAAGGACAATAGCACAAGAACTTTGTGCAGTTATTAAGTGTGAAACATCAGAGCAATTTGTATGTCTCACCATTAATAGGGTGATATGTTTTTATGTCACCATCGTTTGCCACAGTTTGCTGAGATGAAAAATCTTCTTTTATTATTATTGTGAGTGCTATTAACCAGTGAATATTTAATACAAAGTGGAACTTATATCCATTATTTCTGTCTCTTATTTTTAATATAGTGTGTAATTGTAATTGTAGTAGCATGTAAGAACTTCAATCAGGAGATTCTGGGTATTGAAGTGTCAGAACAGAGCACAAAGAGCCTCTTCACAGTGGAAAGTAGATAGCTGGAGCTGAAGTCTCATTATCTTTGAAATTCCAAAATGCATGAACTGCTGTACAAGATATAATTGGACCATTTACTCAGGTAGCCTTTTTTCAAGTGTTGAAATAGACTGAAGTGCTTCGGAGGATAAGCTATCTGATGGATTTCTGATGGATTTTAACTCCCAATGTGCAAATGGGAGTTATACTCGAATAACTCTGCAAAGAAGAGACCTTCCTCAATGAGCATTTGTATTTTATGAGTCAGTAGGCTGTGAAATCTTATTACCAAAATTCGAATAATAAACCAGCTTTTTTTTGTAATTAAGTATTCATATCCCTTTGAAGGAAAGAGAATACACATGCTGATTTACAACTGTAATTAACTTATTACATCAGAATACAAGAATGGTTTCTTTAAATTAAATTTTTAATCTCATAAAACTTTATTTCTTTAAGGGAAGAGAATAAATGGTTTGAAGCTCAGATGTATTTTTTCTCAATGGTACTGTTAGTTAATTCTAAAAGAAACAAAACATCCCTGCTCCACTCCCTCGCTCTATCCTTCTCACCCTCCCCAGACAGACCAAATCAATAGTTTTGACGTCTTGTAAACTCCATTAACTCTCAGCCAGAATATTTTCTGATAGGAATCAGTAGGATGTTTGTCTTTGTTTTGATGGAAAGAAAGCAGTGAAAATTTCACATGAGAGTCCCTGATTGAAAACTGTCTTTTTAATCTTAGTTGCTTTCTGTTTCATGCTGCTGAAAGCCTTCAGAGAGCATTGCAGATATACTCAAATGCAAATAGTGGCCTCAGCTTCGCCACAAACACTGACCTGGTCCTTGACTGTTCCACAGTCTTAGAGAAACTACTGTATAGGTAACTCCGCATTCTGTACCGATTAGACTCAACCCAAGAAAATTAACTTGTATATTGCAACTTAGTTTCCACCGAGTGGGTTCCTTTTTTGAGATCAGAAGCTGGAAAGAGATCTAGAGGGATTGCTAGATTCTAGCTATAGGCATTCATCTTTCCATGGTTGGATTGAGTGTTCGTGCCCCGTTTTATGGAGATACGCTGTGATCGATAACAAACTTTCAATGTCATATCACCAAATGCCCGAGATAAACAGGTGGGAAAAGTATGTGGTGTTCTTGCTCTATCTTGGAGTTGTTTCTTCCACGTGAACAGAGAAAGGATATGACCTGAAGGAGAAAACAGCAGTGCAGTATAATCTGTCCTTTCTTTCCTGAATGTCACACTACCCTTTCAGCATTTTTATAGTTATTTCATTTTTTTACTTTCTCATTTAAACTTCATCACAGCCCTGTAAATCCCAGAAACATATTGGAAGGTAGCAACAAAAATGCATGTCCAAAAGAATTTGCAGCCTGCATGTCAAGCAGTGTGAAATGTGTAAGAAGGCAGTTAAGAATGGAATTAGAGAACAAGGCTACAATGAAATCAGGAAAATCTTTAGCAAGAAGCCGAGAACTGTTTTCTCTCTGGTTATTCATTCTAAGCAAACTGAAGTGTGTTGCATTGTTTTAAAGGCAGAAGAGGTATCTGGGCTTATAGGAAACGGTCCATAAATAATTTCATTCAGGCATTGTTTTAGCAGTAAATGCTAAGAAAAAACCCAACCAGTTACTCTTTAAATAGTTGAGGGGTGGGGAAAAATGTTTTCAGCAGTTTGTTTCTAGTTTGAACCATTTCTATGTGTGTAAGGAATATAGTGTATAATTTCTCTTAGTCTTTCGTATTGCTGCTTTAATGGCCTGGATGACTGACCTGCATTTTCATGCATTATGCACTCAGTGTACGTGTTAGCACTTTATTACTGTCTCAGGCATTAACAGCACAAGCAAAACTTCCCGTGTTGCCTACAAAATATGCCCTCTCTGCTGGTGTATGTGGATTTGGGCATGAAACTTTTGAGTTTAACCATCACTGATTCCCAAGAAAGCATTTTTAGTATTACTGCTATATCAGGCAGCTGTCAGCTGTCTTAGTTGTCTAAAGTTATCTAATGAAAGAGGCAACCCTATCTTTCTAAGCAGCTGCTCAGAAATTCAAAGCTAAAGAATTAAATCTGTTGAGCAAAATTAGTTACTTGTCAAAGTAACTAATGATGAAACAAAATCCCAGTTGTCATTCCTTTATTTTAGTGGAATCACTGATGTGCACATCTATCATGTGAAATATGGAGAAATGATGTTTCACTCTTTCTCTCTCAACTCTAGGTGAGACATACGCTGTACCAAATGACGATACCCTGGCTGGAAAATCTGAGGACAAAACCCCTGGTCCTTCAAAAAAAGCTGGTAACCGGCTACAGAGCGTGACTAACTGCTACTCAACTGTTTTAATGTCACAGATAATGGACACGTGCTTTTTCTCTACTAGAATGTGTTATAACATCCGTAGGAAGTCCTGTTCACTTTGTCAGTGTGCCACAGACGTTTGGAACTTGGATGCGGGAACCTGCAAATATAAGTGATGAAAGGATTTGGCTTACCATGCATTTTTCAGGTACACTAGTAGTCACTGACTGAAAACTAGCTGTTATACTAACATTGCTGTCTTAATTCTTTCAACCTAAACTAGTATTTCTAATCAAGTATGGGGGCTTTTTTACCCACATCTTTTCAGAAGATTTTCCATATTACCTGTAAACACTTGACTATACATATGGTTATAGACATTTGTAGTATCTTTAGACATTTTCAGAGTCAACATCGGATTTTGAAAATAGTTTGAGGATTTTAGTTTTTTTATCCAATCCAAGTTTAAATGCCTGTTTTTCCTGACTTTTTATTCTTTGCTTTCAACAGTTTCCTATGGCTTTACTTCCATAAATTTTAGCTAGTTTTGCCTTTTCATTTAGCTGGGCATGAAAATGAATTAGATGCTGCATGAGCTGCATTTAGTGCAGGAAAATTTCCAGGACCTAAGTGCAAAAAGGAAATGTTTTCTGTATATTTACCAACTGTGTTCAGAATTAGGGCCCATCAGGTCAGTGGGAAGCAGGCCCTTGAACACCTCGGGGTTGTTTTTTTTTTTGGTGTTTATCTCTGGATTATTTTACCATGTTCCAGCCAGTTGAATCACTATCAAAACCACAAATACAAATTGTTGTCTGTCAGACATTTGGTTGAGATTGACTTTCAGTAGAGATCGAATTTTAAGGTAGAGATTTCAAAATTAGGTGAACCAAATGATAGTCCTTTCTTTCATGTTTTCCCCTTCGTTTAGGAAACTTTATAAAAGAATATGAGAATTCCAATGCCTTGTTGAATGACAGCTACAGGATCATTAACATCACAGGATTCTTTTATGGATGTGGTCATGCAGTACAAAACAATCATCTGTACTATCAAAAGGGAGGAACCAATGTCATTCTGAAGTAAGTCAAACATAGTTGACTTAAAGGAAGTGATGTTGTGGAAGGAGGAGCAGTGGGTTAAGAGTGGCAGAGGTTCACCTCTGTCAAAGCAGACTGCTTTCCTTGTACGGTTTTATGTTTCTTTTTGGTCCTATCTAGACTAGGAATAATGGAGGAATGGTTCATAGTTCTTTCCAGAACAGAACAACTCATTCTTTCCCATCTACAACTGGAATGTGGGCCACTGGCCTTCCATCTGTGTGTGCAGATGCTGTGGGAGGAGAGGAACTGGGAAGGCAGTCTGGGTCCGTTGCTCTGCTGTGACAGTCAGGTCTTTAAGCATCGTTCAGCTCTGTGTCTAAGTAGTTAACTTGAGTAGTTACTATTTGGTAGGACTAACAGATACCATGTGCAGAGGTGATGACAGATTTTTCTTTCGGCTGTCCTGGGATCCATCAGGTTTCTGTTATACATTACATTGCTGTGGGTGTCCTTGCATTTGGATTCTGTGCTGTGTTCATAATTGCAAGAAGGAATTGGGAACCGACTAAGGAATTTGAGTGTCAGAAAAAGGTATTTGATTTAAAAAAATTAGCCATGCATCTACCTGCATCAGAGTAAGAATTAGTTCAGCTGCAGTTTGGGGGACGCAGATGAGTGGTTATAGGATTGCAGCCCACTTGTGGAACTTGACTTTCCAGAGCTTCTTGCTGGGTTGATGCACATGCTTTGCTCTCGGCTAGCATGGTTCTTCGCTGGTGGGGGTTGAGCTAGTGCTGCTCCTGCAGAGGAATGCACGACGGCAGCAGCTGAGGACATGGCGACCTGGTGAATTGCACATTCCATTGTGGAGGAGTGGCTCGTTTCCTTGTAATAAGAAGTTCCTACAGCTCTCCCAATGTATCTCCCTGAATTGGAACTGGGATTTACATCTCCCTTCACTTTCGCCTGAGGACAGAGACAGACATTACAAATCAAAACAAAATCGCATCTTGTGGGAAGAGCCAAAGACAGATAGTCCAAGGGCAAGTGAAAGATTGCATCTGCTTTCAAGTTCTCTTACATGACTCTGATGTTTGAGCCAAGAACATTACTATACTTTGATGTCTATTCCCAAGCAGGTGTGAGTGCTGCCTTCCTATGTTCATTTGGATGCCAAGGAATGTGAGCAAGCTGCTTGGATTCTATAATATTTATTCTGCCAAAGACAAGCCCACTTTTTGGCAACCTCCTTTAAATATCTTTGGGGCTTTTTGTTTCATACATCTGTAAAAGACCATCTCTCTCAAAGCAATACACATCGATAGGACAGAGGTTCCTCACCTGGGAACCGTTAAATGGGAAATGGGTACTGTTAAATGGGAAATGCCTTCATGTACAGATGAACACAAGCTATTTGTGGAATTTTTAAAACTTCTCTAAGTAAAGTTGCTGAGAGTTGGCCTTTCTGTTCAGTTATTCACTCTAAGATTATTTACCTTCAATTGAGACGGGGTGAGGCACTATAAACTCTGTGACAGTGAAGTCCTTGATTTTGGGCTGCAGAAAAGCTTCTGGGAGTTTTTGGATTGATTTAATGGAAAGAACAGGTGAAGACCTGGTTGGTTCATTTTGCAAATCTTGGAAAAAAATATTTAAAAAGAATTTCCTGTCATATTTAAAAACTTGTAAAACTAGGTTTGACTTTTAGCAGGTTTTCTTATGATGGTCAGATCCCTGACATGATTGCTTCATCCTTTCTTCCTTTGTTTTGTAACATGTTTTCCCATCTCTGTTCTTGTTGGTTGACTTTGTTCATCTTAGCAATCAGAGAAGTGTTTGTAGCTTGAGTTCCCTGCGGTTGATGAAAATATTACATTATATCCTGTCATTTACCCCAAGGTGCCAGAAGATTAAGGAATTTCTGAACCATTTGGAGTTCTAGGCTCGACTGTCCTTGACTGGGGGAGTTGGAAGAGAACCTCAGGAATGAAACCTCACTTTTCTGCTCCCTTCAGGATTTTCCACGTAAAATAGGAAAAGACAGGGTGTTCTGTGTTGCAGATCTTGCACATTTCTCATTAATCTTGAGATGTTTTTATCTTATTGGCTCCTTATAGAAAATCTGCATTTCTATGTGATTATTCCTGCTAAGGGCTGTCCTTCTTGCCTTTCCATGAGGTTATTTACAAACATGAAGCAACTAACAGGATTAACTGAGTTGACACACGTTTCTGAGAAATCTTCTGCAGCCTTGAAACCTTTTTTTATTGCACATACATGCTGCTGGAAAATGAAGTTGCTACAGACACGAGTTTTACAAAAGCTGAGGGGAATCATCTAGTTAGTCATTCTTGACTTTTCTTAGATTTTTCTGGTATATTCTATCCACACTCTTCCACAGAAAAATTATTCTTCCAGTAGTTTTTCTTCTATTGTAAGATCCTGGCTCTGAAATGTTCCTGTCATTAAGCCTGTCTTTTCTGAAAACTTTTGTAAGTATAGCAGAATTGTGTAGTGAGTAATGTTTTTCCTCCATTAGAGGAACAGAGCTTTACAGTTAGATAGAAGTCAGACAATGAAATGTGCTTCATTACAGAAGACACTACTTAAAAGCATGAAGCATACTCTCTCTGCCTTTGCTAAAGCACTGTGTTATTCAGTGATTAAATGCTAACTGCAAATGTGCCTTGATAGTAGCTGATTACCCTCTTGAACTAGTAGAGGAACTCAATTTAGCTGTTCAATGCTGCCGTCCTCAGATTATCATCCTATGAAGGAATTTCAAGGAATAAAAACAATTTTATACATCAGAGATGAGACATTAAGGCTGTCCTGTTGGAGGCCAGCGTGAGGTCAGAATTTTGGCTCTGCAAAAGTAGAATTTTTATTCCTTTGATGTTTACTTGAGCAAATCACTGCATTATCTGAACTGTTTTCAAAAGAGGGACTCTAAGACTAGGTGAACCTGCCCAGAATTCAAGCTGGTTTGGTCAATCACGTTTTCTCCCTTTAGTTCCGAACTAGTAGGAAGCAAACTTCTGTAGTTTTCATTTCACACATCTGGACCCTCACCTGGTATCTAATTCTTTTTCATTCTTTTACTTGCTTCTTTCATCCTAGTGATAATAAAGCTCATAGACTAAATAAAGTGAAACCTACCAAAGCAAGTTCATGCTCTTGTGCATCTTTAGATTGGTTATTACTTTGGAATTTTCTCCTAGTGTTTTGGAAGGTGCCGTGAGTGGGGTACTCAATCTCAAAAGACATCAGAATGGTTCTTGAACTCAAGTATTTTCAACAATGCTTCTATCAGTAACAATGCACTCTGAATTGCTTCAGCCAACCCGTGTGCATAAAGATGAATTTTTAACACAACATACTGAATACTTCCTTTATCTCATTGCAGACTTGGGCTTGATAAAGCGTCGTTGGGCACACTGCTAATTGAAAATGCCTTATATCATGGTCGTAACTACCTCTTTTCTAACTCGAAGACGTATTTCAACGTAGCAGTGGATGAGAAGGGTCTTTGGATTATATATGCCTCAAGCACTGACGAAAATATAATAGTAGCACATATTGATGAAGAAACGTTTTTGGTCATTCGGCACATCAATACCACGTATCCTAAGTCCAAGGCTGGTAACGCGTTCATAGCCTGTGGTGTTATGTATGTTACTGATACTAAGGATATGACAGTAAGTTTTGCTTTTGATTTATTGAAAGAGCAGCAGATCGATGCAAGGTTTGAGTTACGGTCTTCACAGTCTGTTCTTGCTATGCTTTCATACAGTCTAAGAGATAAGAATTTGTATACGTGGGAGAATGGGAGCTTAATGGTATACCCTGTACATTTTGGCAGATGAACATGTTTTAATATGTCTCATATGGGAGCCATGTTTGGCTAAATAGATTATTTAAAGCTGTGTGATACACTCATGGGGGTCTCTTCACTTGGTATCATTTTCTGTTTGCTGAAGGTGGTTTGTGAGTGCATAAAAAGGAGATCAGGTGCCTTTGTATAAACACGTCAGTTATATACGCTGTTCTTGTCTTTTTTAAAAAGAATGGCTGTTCAGCGTTGCAGCTGGCACGCAGCACAGATTTGCTTTTGTCTTTCCCCTGTTATTCAGCCAATAATTACATCTAATGTACATTGATTATTCCATGGTCATGTGCTCAGCAGAGACTATTTATAACTTCCAGTTGCAATCATCTTATCTGCAATCATTTTCTAGACAGTGATTATGGTTTAGTATAATATAATAATGAACGTTTTGTGTACAAATACCTTTGTCATTTTCACTTAATACTTTCCACTGATTCTCTCTGAACATATTTTGTTTTTTTTGGACAAAGATATACAGCTGTTAAAAATAATGGGGGTGGAAAATAGTTGTTTAAATAGAAAAAACAGCAGAAAGCTTCGAATTTGACAACTCCAGTGAACTGTTACTTAATCATAAGCAGAATCCAGCCCAAGTACGAGGAAAATGGGAATAATGGCATTACTAAATATTGAATATACATGAATTTGTGTTTGGTAAATGGAGTGTGGGAAGAAAAGTAATGAGGTATAAAATTGAAGAGAAGGTGTAAAATTTGTGATTAAAATTGCCTTTTTAACAGTGTTTGAGTTGCTTGTGTTGCTGCAGACTTCCTTGCCCCCTCACTGCCATCTGAACTATACCAGTATAACTTGCTTATAACTATACTTAATTATAGTAAGTCATAGTTCTAAAAAAAATTTTCCTCACATTCGTCCATACAAATGAAATAATGAATTGAAGGGTATACTTTTTTTGCTGCCGTTCTTAGAAAAATAAAATATCTTCAGGAATGCATGTATTCATCATAGTGCTTAGTGACTTAATCTGTTGTTAATCTTCATTCAGAGATTGCCCACTCACATTCAGATTTTTGAGAGACAGAAGTGAGAAATAATAGGAACTTTTTGATTTTAATGTTGTTCTGGTATTTCAGATTTCTAAATTTAACACTGAAACATAAATCCCTACTGTTGCTTTGTGTATCTATATTCAAAATCATGCTCTCGGAAAACCCCTACCTGAATTTCTAAGCTGCCTGTGTATCTTGGTAAAGTTCATGGAGCTCATCCAAATATTTAGACACAAAGTAACACTTAAACCACTCAGTGCAGTTGAAGCTTTAATGCCTATGCAATATCCAGGCAGTATTAAAGGGATTCATGAATCTGGGAACATCTATGCCTGCAGAGCCCTGTCTGGCAAACGTGCTGGAAAAATACCTCTGCTGTAGCTAAACTTCAGTGTGTGGTACCGGGGTGGCTGGGCCAGGGCTGCAGCCTCTGTTCTCAGCATACCTGCTGGTTTCTCCAAGGCCAGGATTCAGGCCAGGCATGCGGCAGAGTGAGATGCAGAGGGAAACAAAAAAGCATAATTAATACTTTGAACTAGTGTATACAGTGAAATGCATATACCAAGAATTCTATCGCTAACTATAAAGAGTGCAACACATCACAGTCCAGAGCTACAGTTTTGAGTATGTGGGCTTCTTTTGACTTTTGTGGGGTGAGGGGTTTCTTGGCTGGTAGGTTTTTTAGTTTGTTCTGTTTTTGTTTGGTGTGTAGTGTGTTTTTTCTTTTTTTCTTTTAGTTTCTGTTGTTGTGGTGGTGTTTTTTAAAAAATTGAATTATGGTACTAATCAAGTAGTCTTTTTGACTAAAAAAATAAAAACCTTGCACTATACTTGGGCAAATACAGTTCAAGCCAGATGTGACAGTTTCTAGATAATGTTCCTATCTTAAATCATGTTAGATTTCTGAATGTCGTCGTTGAACCTGTCACATCAACCTCTTGGAGAAAGGAGGGCCAGCAAATTCTGCCTCTTTTCTCAGTGACGGTACCAGGCTGCGTTTCTTGCAGCTCCCTTTGTTGGAGATGAACAATTAAATTCTGTTAACTTTATGCTTTTCTAGGACAGCTGAACTTAAAATGCAAACAGCTAATGTTTTTCATCTCAGTACAGTCTGAGGTCAAGTTAAAGCTAGCTCAGGCAGTAACCAGCCAATCTACTGGAGCTTTAGTTAAATCTATTCAAATATAAAGAAGAGTTCTGGAATGGACTGTTCCATGAAATAAAAGTAATTTATTTAACTTACAAAGGAAAAACTAAACAATGACATTTACTCTTCTTTCTTTTTATATTTCCCATACTTCACAGCCTGCACTTTAAAATCACCTTTGGAGAAAGGTACTTTTTATTCTAGTATATTTTACAATACAGCACAGACATCAAAATTTTCATTGGAGGAATAAGACAATTTGTTAACATTTAAATACGCAGACATCTGTTCCAGTCTCTTAAGAACATGTTTTTTGTTTACAACAGAAAAATACATCTGACAACAGTAGCTAGTTATATTACAAGCAAACAATATTGAACTCTGCATAGTTTATACAATATACTCTGGTAATAATTTAATTACCAGGTTTATCCACTATTTACTATCTGGCCACATAAAGCCTGACATTCATCTGAAATGTGGCGTTATACGTTCCATTGGTATCCTCTTAACAGCTTCATTTAGTGAAGTATTTTCTGGACAAATGAATTTCAAAACTAAAAGCTGACTAGAATCATGGATGTCTTCACCACAACCATTTAGTGCTTACAATACATTCCTAAAGTAAAGGCAGGTGTCCAATAGAAAACATAGCTGTCAGAAAGAAAGGAAAACAGTGTGCAAATTAAAAAACATTGCATTTAAAAACGTGTTGATGTGCAAGTTACAGTATCAACTGTGTATTAATACTAACTGGGGAAAAAATCTCAGAAAAAAAATACGTCTCACAGTATGTTCTCGATTGCACGTGTTCCATGGCGTTTGTATCCATTACACTTTCTTGTGAAAATCAAATACACTAAGTAACTTTAATTAAAACTAAACTATTTTACAATGAGAAGTTGTACACATGCTTCAATTAGTGGGAAAAATTGGAATAAAAATAATCAGAATCACATCAGAAATGCTTACTGACTTGTAGAGCCACGGTGCTTGTTAAGTGACTGACAGCTGTCAGAATCTTTGCAATACGCTTACTAAATGCAGCTTGTGGGTTACTGAGCAATAACCCCACCTATGACTGTGACTATACTGGGTTTAATTCTTTGCTTTTACAATACAGTACATGCATTTCCACCCCAGTGATCCTTTATGGGCATACTCAAAATATACCTGTGGTAGAAGTCTTTTTTTTTTTTTTTTTAAATCTTTTCCCCCTAATACTTAGTGCTGCAGTAACTGCTTTGAAAGGAAACAGAATGTTTCCTTTCCACAGTGCGTATCACTGTGATTTTAGCTACTTAAAGGGACATGATATAAAACCAGGATTAGCTCACATAACGCTACAGAATGTCAAAAATGCCTGAAGGTACATTGAAAGCATTGGGAAGAACCCTCATTTTCAGCGTGCCGTCTGCTCCACAGGAGAAGATACGATTGCCTTGCACAGTTTCAATCTGGGTGACGCCAGCACCAATATTTCTGAAAATGGACTGCTTAGCATGTTCATTTTTAAATGAATGAATTAAGTTATAGCCAGTCAGTCTCCACACCTGTATGAAAAGAATGACAAATGGCGATTAAAACTCGGATTTGTATTTTTTCCCTAATGTTTCAGATTCCTGGCTGTTCTAAACCCTATTCAGCAAAGATAAAAGGTATTTTTCTGTTGTCTGTTAGCAACAATTACAAGTCTGAGAGTCTTGAGAGGTTCCTGATGAAGCACAAGGCAAGATGGTGTAAGGCTACCTCGACGTGGACCAACTGGTTACTCGGCAGGCTGAAGCTGCCTTGTGTTACCTGGTCAGTAGTGCCCCTCCCAGCTTCCCCCCCATGCAAGCTGCAGAAATGGACAGGTTGCATTTATCCAGGATCACTATTGTCAGCTTTCCAGCAGCCGGAAATGCTTTTCTGCTAAGGAATGCTGCAGAGTAAGCTGCATAATGAGTAAGGAGGCAGAGTGGTAGCGCAGCTGTCGGAGCTGTTTGTTGTGTCCTAAGCTGCAGGAGCCCTCATCAAGACAGGGCCACGAACTGTACAAAGGCACAGAAAGCACCTTTTAAGCAGTATGCAGTCCAGCTAAAAGGAAGGAAATTGTATTCTCCTTCTCTTCACCAGTTCTTGTATTTCCTTCTTTCGCATTCGGGAAATACACCCTTTAAAACAGGGACTGTATTTCTGGGTTTTTTTTGTTGTTTGTTTCTTACTACTATGACATCTCAGTAGCTGTCTGGGGCTACAGCATCAACAAAAAACACAGAACTTGGTGTGACAGAAACTTTACACAACATGGAAGTTACTGAGCGCCCCTGTATTAAAAAGACATCCCAAGGCAAAATCAGAACACTTTTAAGACAGAAAAATAAAACTAAGATTTCAGAATCACACATTTTGCTTTATCCATGTAAAAGTCGGTCACACAACTTTAAAAAGACTGTTTCATCTTTAGCAGAGAACAAAACCTACTTGCTGTAGAAGGATATTGGTATATTTATGTTTACACTGTAAAGGTAAGCCAAACATTCTATATATCAAATGTAGGTTTGGGTTTGGTTTGGTTTTGTTTCCACGCTCATCACGTATGTCAGTGCACTACTTCAGAGAAAAACACTGTCCTGTACAACTCGGCTCCTCCTGTTCCTTACCTTCATGTTACCTTCTGCTGAGCCTGTCACAAAATAGTCCTCGGAAGGATCCAGTGCAAGGGCCTTGACAGCTGATTCATGTGCTTGGAAGGTGTAAAGGATTTGCCTCTGTCTGATGTCAAAAATGCAGATGTATCCCTTCCTACCTCCAGAAATTAGCAGCTGATGTTTAGGTGCGTACTGAA